AACTGTTGGTAGGTAAGCTCATGCAGACATCTGCCTGGGTGATGATACTGATGATGGTTTTCTTCAGTGCCCTTCTCTTACCCCTCGAGTGTAAAAGACTAAAGAAATATGTGTATATTTCATTTTCTTCTCTACTGTATATGCCTTGAGTGCTGAGCAGATGAAAGAGTTTAAAAAACATGTAGAGGGAGTGACCGGTGAGCTCAGTGGGTTAGAGCGTGGTGCTGATAACACCAAGGTTGCCAGTTCGATCCCCACATGGGCCACTGTGAGCTGCGCCCTCCCTAAAAGGGTCAACTAGGCCATTGTTGCATGAAAGCAATGTATAACCAATGACCGTGGCTGCTCCCCAATAAAATTTAAAAAACAAAAACAAAACACGTAGGCTGATAGTGTTACAGATCTATTATTTGGGTCTTCTTCTCTCTTTGAATATATTTTTTTAGTTTTCCCTCATCAGTTTCCTTTTACAGTTTCCAGAATGACTATTCAACCTCCATCAGTTTCCTTTAATCTCTTCCTTGATTCTCTCCATTCTCATCCTTAGACACCAAGGGTCTCCTCCTTCTAAACAAGTGAAATATGATCCTGACAATGTATGACTTGATATTTGTGCAAACAACTTGAACAGGTATTTTTACCTATACTATCACATCTCATCTTTTTACCAAAACCAATGTAGTTGTCTACTGCAGACATGAGAATTTTTCCAGATAGGTCACTTACAGATTATGAGAATGCTTCATTGCTGGCTTGTCATTATCATCCTCACTTTAGAAATGAGAAAATTGAGGCTCAGAAAGGTTTCGTGTTTTCCCAAGTGGCAAGTCAGAGCACTGAGATTTAAACCTAGATTTCTCTTTATTGTGTTCTGATTCCCAGGGAGCATCAAGTAAAAAGCATGCCACTTCCTGGCTCTTCCCATCCAGAACGTTCTTTATGTCTTACCTTTGGCTTCTGAAAACGTGGTGCCTCTCATGCTGTCAATGTGATTATCGATCGTTGCTCTTTACTCCATTTCCTCCTGCTTCCCACAGAGTTTTTCCAATCAATTATCTCCTTATATTTTTTAAATGCTTCACCCATTGCCTCCTTTCACATAGCCTTAATATGTCTTCCAGTCTCATTGACCTAAATTTTATTATGTGGAGAGAAAAAAGGTCTTCCAAAATAATGTAAACTATTTTATTTTTTATTTTTTGTGATGCTTCCTCATTCTTAACCAAGCTTTAGCCCTTGAAAGCCTGATTTTTGCTCTCACCATTCACTGATGCAGTTCTATCTACAGTGCTCATTGACCAGCTAATGTGCACTTGCTAGTACTTTTCTTATTTGACCTGTCTCCAAATTGAAATCATTGACTTCTTCCCCATTCTTCAGACTCACATCACTTCAGTTAAGTGGCATCCCCTCTCTTTTCCTGGTTGATTCTCTTGTCCCTCTCTTAGACTGTTCTTTGTCTTTCTTTGCTGCTTTCCTTTTCCCATCACTTAAATTTCTGTGTTACCCATGATTTTCTCCTGGCCCTCCCTGTCTACTTCCTTCTCATATTTGAGTACACTAAAATACCAATTGTACAAATGCACGCTGCTTTTTTGAAAAATAAAACAAAACAAAGAAACAAAAACCACACACACATACATATGTATGTAGCTATATATAGTGAGTAATAAAATACAAATTCATTTCAAAGTATTAATGAATTTATAATAGCATTCTCTCATTATGAATTTTCTTAATGATTAGATTATGTGTTAGTAGTAAAACCGTTATTTGTGATACTGATCAATTTAAATTTTTAAACTTCATCTTCATATTGAAAATACTGGACACTTTTCATTTAGGACATGAGGTTATTTAATGCCATATTCCCACCTACATTCTAGTTATTATATTGGGTTGTCGGAAAAGTCATGATGCATTCTTGCAACAAAAAACATAGAAAAAATACCTCATGACTTTTCCGACAGCCCAACATTTCTGCCATTGTGTAGCCATTCTCTAGGCATTATTTCACTTCACCTAAACTCTTCATGCTGTTCAGTGCCTGGCCCTATAGCATATTTTCTCTCAATTAGGAAGGCTTTTGTTTTTAAGACTTGCATCTCTTTGCATATCCAGTATACTAAACTAAAGGAAAAACAAAAATGAGGGAAGGAAGTTTATCGTAAGGATACAGGGATGTCTCATGGAAACCAAGGGCAAGAATAAAGGTTTGACCCGGGAAGGGACTAGAATCTGTGTTTTGGTTACTTGTCACAGCAATGTATTATTCTCTCCGTGGTTTTGTGGGTTAAGGCTCAGTTGGATGTTTCTCTCTTGGGGTCTCTCGTATGACTGTAGGCAGTTGTTGGTCGGTACTACTTTTGCCCTATTCCGTTGATCTAGGCAGTCAAAGGACCTAGATTTAAAGAGGAGAAATAAACTCGATCTTTTAATGGGGGGGGGTGGTAAGAGGAGCATGTGGTATGGAAACTCTTGTTGCACCTTCTTTGGAAAATGACATCTACTTCAGCCTATGAGTGAAAGCCATCAGTATTTTTGTTCCTACTTCTCTTTTTATGCATTGACTTCTTTCTTCTCTCTTTAGTCATAGCTTTTTGCTATTCCTTAATTAACACAGCAAACTGTGAATTTCAGAAGCACAGCCCCCTAGCATATGTGACACAGTTCCAAGCACCCACAGAGCTTTACCAGACTTTGTCCTGTCAGTTCGGAGGGAGAATCTGGTGGATCTAACTGAACACAAGCATTGTCCATATTTTAATCGTTCATGGCATGGGGGTGGCCAGGGTTATGTGGCCGAGAAATGGTGGTTATTGACTTACTTTTTCAGGGGGTGAACCTTTTCCACCTGAAAAGACATGGCCATCAACCCCCTAAAACATCTGCTATTCCCAGCAATGCTTACTAATTATTCAGTGCTCTACTGTAACATCACCTCTCCTATGACATCCATTAAATTCCCTGTTAAGTGTTATTCTACCCTACATACTCCCATTGAATTTGGTGGATTCTTTTGTATTTCTAGCTCTATGAATAATGTTATTGTATTATGCACTTAGATGGATCCCTAAGCCCCCAAATTCGATGATTCCTGGAGAATAGTACATAGCATTATTTCTTATGCAAGACAGTAATTCAACCAATGAAGGTATTATATATAGTAAAAAATAATATGCATATGCATGAGTCTGCTATTGTTTATTTTATGCCAGAATTCTAATTACTTAAATAATTCATAATTACTTTGCCTTTATGATTGTTAGGATCAGTTTGCTAAGGAATAATATTAAGGTACATTTACAACCTTGTATCCCAAGTAACTCCTTGAATACTTAACCCATTTTCTTGGGATTATTCTCATTACTCATGGCAGGGCTGTAGTTCTCTGCAGTAACTGCTAAGCAAACTGATATTATTTTCTAATAATATGTACTGGAATTGACTCCAGTTGGTGTAAAGTAGGCTATACTAACATACATTATACAAATTAGTTTGCATGAAAATTTTATGGGCGCTCTGGTATAAGTTACCAGTTTCCTCTTCTCTGACTAATTTATGGTAATCTGACAGTGAATGCATTTTAAATTAGAATGATTTGACCACTGGCTGATTTTTGCTAGATCTAGCAGAAAGAAATGAATGAATTTATGGTTTTGGTCTCTCCACACCACAGCAATTGACCTATTCCTGTAACTTGCTCAGAAGAGTGCAAGTTAAATACAGACATACTTTTGAATAGAACTTGATCAAAATACTTAATAAAGAACATATAGAAATATTTGATGGTTATTTAATGTTCAAAAATCAATCTCTGTGATGGTTGCTAGATAATAGGGGGGTTGGGAGAGGGAGGAGAAGGTGAAGGGATTAGAAAGTACAAATTGGTAGTCACAAAATAGTCACAGGGATGTGAAATACAGTACGGGTAATATAATCAATAATGTTGTAAAGATTATGTAGGGTGTCAGATGGGTACTGGACTTATTGGGGATCACTTCATAGACTGTGTAGATGCCTGACAACTGTGCTGTACATCTGAAACTAATATAAATAATACTGAATGTCATATATATATATATACACATATATATATACACATATATATATATATATATAGTCACAGGATATAAAGTAGAGAATATAGAATATAGTCAATGGTATTGTAATAGCTATGTATGATGTCAGAGGGTAGTAGTAGACTTGATGAGCTTATCACTTTGTGAGGGGTATAAATGTCTAATCATTTGTTGTTTGTTGTCCACCTGAAACTAATAATAAAATTAAATTTAAAAAAAACATAGTCATGATATATTGCTATGTAAATTAACAGATGACATGCAACATGATTCCATTTTTACAAAAACATTTCTTTATATGTATAAAAGCAAGACTGGAAGAATATGCATTAAAGTTTTCACAACTAAAAAAATCAATCTCTGTAGGAAGCTGTTAAGTATCCATCAGACAAAAAGCAAGGCCAATTGAGGCATTTAACTTTCCTTTCCTATTTTCATAGTTTCCCTGAAATTTAACTGAAACATGGTACGGAGTGAGTGCAGATCACTATGAAGGACCATTGTCCACACGCAGCTTTCTTATTATATGTTAGCCCTGTCACAGTCAGCTCTTTTAATAAAAGTTAGCTTCCTGTCTTTGGCCAGATCTGAGTGTAAACTCAAGAATAATAGAGTATCAGTTTTACATATTACATATAAATAGATATTTCCTACTGAAAATGATATCTGTGATAGCTTGTTCATTATCACTGACTCAAAAAGATAATTTCTTTTTCATAATAACCCTGTTAGGAGAGAAACAAGTCATTTCATTTTTGATAACTTTTGGTAAGTAAAAACCTATTTCTTGTCATTTGAAAACAGGCTCTATTGTAATAATGTGTTAGGAGAGTTTCTTAATTCCATCTTCTTGGAAAGTGGGTTTTCTTTGCAATAACTTGCAGAGCATGCTGACTAATAATGCTGTCTTCCCAACAGAAAATCCAATCAGATTTGACAAGTCATGAGATCAGTTTAGAAGAAATGAAGAAACATTACCAGGGAAAGGAGGCTGCCCAAAGGGTACTGTCCCAAATTGATGAGGCACAGGTATGTGTTATTGCATAAACCAAGGAATTCGTTTTACTTGGATATTAAAACATAGTCTATATTAGACAACTTGATTATTAGTAAAATTGGGATTGAGGGCATTATTTGAAACTTCAGTGTGATATATAAATGATACAGATGTTTTGGGTTGTGCATTTTAAGGATAAATTGGATTAATAAATTACGTTTTATTTAGTATCATATTAAGAACAGTTGCTGAATTCTTCTCCCAAATGCATGTATTCTTTGTGCTGGACAAATGGGGAAAAAATGATTATTTCAGGTTTTTTTTTAATTCTTGTTTATCTTCAGGAATAAAGGATACTCTATTAACAAAAATATGCCTGATTTTTTTGTGGAAGGCAACATGAAATCAGTGCTTTCTTACCCTGTCATTACAGAAAAAATTGCAAGATGTTTCCATGAAGTTTCGATTATTCCAGAAGCCAGCCAATTTTGAGCAACGTCTACAGGAAAGTAAGATGATCTTAGATGAAGTGAAGATGCACTTGCCTGCATTGGAAACAAAGAGCATCGAACAGGAAGTAGTACAGTCACAGTTAAATCATTGTGTGGTATGTATTTCTGGTGACAAATACACGGCTACTCTTTAACTTTCCTTATAAAAAGTATTGATGATCCCTTTTATAATATAAAACTTGTATTCATATAACTGTAAAATTATACTATATACTACCGTATTTCCCTATGTATAAGACACACCCTTTTTCGAAAAATTTGGGGTCTAAAAACTGGCTGCGTCTTATCCAGTGATTGTAGATTTCAGATGCCATAGATGGAACTGAGGACGAGGCAATATATGAAGACAGTGATTCGTCATCAGACACAAATGAGGACAAGCTAATGGTCAGAGTTCTGACAGTGATGAGGAGTTGTATGAATTTTATGATGAATAAAACTTGAGTTCAATTACTTTATATAATACATTTTTTTTCAAATTTCGGGTCCCAAAATTAAGGTGTGTCTTATACATGGGAGTGTCTTATACCTGGGGAAATACGGTGTATAATTTTAAGATTGCACAGATATATTGAGAAACAAGAATTTTTACTGAAATAATAGCCATTTAATTCCTCTTCGATAGGTTTCTTTTTTGAGTCGATAATTCTCTAAGGATATAAAATGAAGTCACCTCTGTTTAGTTCTTATGGTACTTTGAATATATTTTTAAATGGAAATACTGAGAAGAATTATAGTAAGTCTTCACTTATCGTCATCAATAGGTTCTGCAGCTTTAAGCGAAATGATGTATAACAAAACCACTTTTACCGTAGGCTAACTGGTATAAACTATAGTTAGGTCCCTACAGCACGTCAGCAATGTTCTAATGAAATGACTTTGAACAAAATGACATTATTCGAAGACCTGCTGTTTATTAGTCTGGAAATAGCAACAACAGCAGTAGCTGTAATAATAAAAACCGGTCCAGAATTGAATGCCAGGTAAGCTGAGTGATCTACCCAAGCTACCTCTAATTCTCAAGGCCACAGATTAAATGAAAGAATTTAAAGACAAACAGCTAGTGCAGGGCAAAAGCAAGATTCCAGTGCAGGATCTCTTACTCCAAACCCTAGTCTCTTTAAACACCAGTGCTGGATATATACTAAAATGCCACCACACCACAAAGACAAAATGAAAAGGCAGAGAAAGGATCATTAATTGGTAGTGTAAATCTACACTGGACTTTGGGGTTTTGAGCAATATCCTTTGTTGCAATTATTGGAAATTCACTAGGTCAGATGAGTCCCCTTACAACATAAAGCTAAATTATGGGGGCATCTACTAGAGTAATATATAAGTATTATTATAACTCATTGTGTACTGTGGACTCTTATGGTAGGAGTCACATAAAATAAAAATGCTGAATGTTATTAACATTAAAGGGAAAAACGTTTATCTATTTAGTACTTTAAGTATTGTTTCTACATCTACTTCATAACATCAATGAAAAAGAGATCTTTTAGATGCATTTTAGTCATATCATTATGAATGGGAACATATCTTTTTTTAACAACACTTTTATATTTTTTGTGAAAAATTATGAAGTATTTAATAACATTTCTTCACAATACAGGTTGCATTGTAGTGACCTAATTATTATTAATATTCTCACCCCCAAAAGAAATTTTGAATATAATGATATATAGTTCTTAGCTGATATGAGATGAGTAACGTTAGGCATACATGGGAACATAGGTCATCTTAAATATTGCAAAAAGAATTATAGGCAAAAATGGCCGAAGTACACTGTCCTTGTGACTAAATATATTCGCAATGGGAGAGCCGTTCATTCTCTTCTAGGAACAGGTCTCTAATGGTTCCTCATAAAACTCATCTAGCTAGTAAATATGAGCTGAAAACAATCCTACCTGCACCCAGCTTTGCCTGTGCCCTGACTCAGTGCAGAGGAAACAGCTCAAGGTACTTGCTCAATTTGTTTCTGGTTCTGATTTAAATGTCAGGACCAATCCAAGTAGTCTTTCCATAAGGATATCTTTTCTATCCAACTTTTATATGTTTACAGCACTGAAGATGCCCTACAGCATATACTACGATCATGGACTTTGCTTTCAAGAAATTTTTGTTCTATTCAAAAGTCTTACCAATATATACTCAAATAAATAGAAAGAATATTTTCCTTACTTTGTGATGAATATTTTCTCTATCGAATGACATGATGGTAACGGCTAACAGTAATTCGAGTAAGCTTTCTTCATAAAGGCAAACCATTAATTTTGTATTTTAATTTAAAGAATAAATCATTTGGAGCTATCTCTGATTCCAAAATTCAGAGTTGTTTCTCAGCGTGACAATTAAAACTTTGAATATTTCTAAATACCCAGACATATTTATAGTTTCTTTTTTTGAAGGGAAACACCCTATCTCAGTTTTTAAAATTTTTGTTAAATTTATTGGGGTGACATTAGTTAATAAAATTATATAGGTTTCAGGAGCATTCTTGAAATCTTGCTCCCCAGTATTTGTCATCAGTTTGGCTCAAATAAACTCGTATAAAATTCAAAAAAATTATATAGGTTTCAAATGTACAATTCTATAATACATCATCTATATATTGCATTGTGTGTTCATAAAATGAAATAAAAAATTCCTGGATAGCTCCAAAGGAACTCACAATTACTAATAAAGGAATATTTATATCAATCATCAGAGGGGATTAAGATGGAAATAGATTATGTATATAGCCATCATGAATAAGATAATTGCCCAGCCATTACAACATGTTTTGTTTTAGACATTGATTTTAAACTGAAGAGAGAAAAATCCAATTTTTGTTCTAATTCCAAAAAACAGCAATTACCTACTAGCAACATTATTTCTTAGTACCAGTGAAATAAGTAGTTGTTCAGACTTCACCACTGACCAAATTAAAGCAGCGGTGTGTAATGTAAACTATTATCTATGCTTGTACACATACTTAGATATATATAGGAATGCATGCATTCATATACACATACATGCAAACACACATGTCTTTCCAGGAAAATAACTACAAGGCAAAAGAATTACACTAGTTTCACAAGGATTTCTTATGGCAGTATAGTTTTGTGAAGCAATACATGTGTTCTTTGTAGTTGTGATGTACATTTGTCTGTATTTAATTGATCAGCCCCGTTAAGAAAACAAATTTGTAAATATATGGTGATGGATGGGGAATTGACTCTGGGTGGTGAGCACACAATGTGATATATAGATAATGTATTATAGAATTGTACACCTGAAACCTATGTAACTTTACTAACAATTGTCATCCCAATAAACTTTAATTAAAAAAAATAAATTTGTATAATCTCATTAGTATATTTAAATTTTCCTTCCCTCCTTCTGTATGATTTAATCTATTGAAGTTTTGATCTGGAAAATTAGATAGTTTGTCCCCAGTAAAATGTAAGCACCATGAGAATAATAGTGGACATGTCTATCTTGGCTACCACTGATTCTCCAGTGACTCAAATGTTGTCGGGTATGTAGTAAGTGCTCAATAAATACCTGGTGAATGAATAAATGAATTTCTCCCAACTCACAACTATGATTATCTAACGGTAACATTTAAAATACTGTATACCAACTATAATTAAAAAATAAATAAATCATATAACATTAAAAATGATCTTTATGAACTTAGATTGAAGAACTCAATATATGTACGGTGTACTGTTACTTTAGTAAGAATAATTATAGACTGTACATGTCTGTATGTGTATATATAATTGAAAGAGAAAGTTTAGATCAACAGAAAATGCAAAAGCTAGATATTGATCACAGCTGCAAAACACTGCTCCATTAAAACTGTAAGCATAAAGCAGCAACTAAGGTGATCTCTGCCTTTATTTATTAATAACACTATGTTAGACACTATTGTGTGTTATTATGTTGTATTTTATGTTTTAACTTAGAACTTGTATAAAAGTCTGAGTGAAGTGAAGTCTGAAGTGGAGATGGTGATAAAAACTGGACGTCAAATTGTACAGAAGAAACAAACAGAAAACCCTAAAGAACTTGATGAAAGAATAACAGCTTTGAAATTGCATTATAATGAGCTGGGAGCGAAGGTATGTGCATGCTGAAACCCAAACCATGGGCTACTTCCCACTTTCTTTATAAATTACAAAGCAAGAGGCAGTAATTATGTACCATTAATGTCTTACATAGTCTTAATAATTTTCTCTGAATAGATTAGATACATACATACATATGTACATAGACAGAGATAGATATAGCTCATATACATTTGTTATTAAGAAACAACATTTAATAAATGAGGATCTTCTTCCTGGCTGCATTAAAAAGTATGTAAAGCTTAGGGACATTGTTATTGGTCCATTAGATAGTTAGTTCTAAAAGGGTTTCTTTGTTCTACACTTGCTTTTTTTCATTGCATAAATTTACTTGTGATAACTCCAAGGATTGATAAAGTTTAGAAACTAACGTATCTGCTTGTATTTTGGTATAATGGAGTTGACATGTTCCACACAGGCCACATTAAGTGTAGTAGAGTTGACACATTCCACAGAAATTATTTCCCTGTATGGCAAGCATTGCATCACACACCACATATGACTAATAAGAGGGTATGGATAGCCAGTGAAGTCCTATGGCTCTGTGATTATTTTGATATTTTTGTCCTGATAAGCGTTTAATGACCATTTCCATCTCACTGTTAATCAAAGGTGTTTCCATTTCTCCATTTCCTCTTTCCAAAACTGTGGAATGTCTAGTATCGTTAGCTCACTTCTCTCCAATTGGATATTCGATATAGGTTGAGAGATTTGACGGTTCAAAATAATGATAAATTGTAAAAAGTATTCATAATCGCATTACTTGTCAACATCAAGGACTGACCTGGCCTTTTCTGTGCCATTATTTTACAATGCTTTAAGCTATCAAAAAGATGTTTCGGTGCTCAGCCGAGATTCCAGTGACATTTGTTACTTAGTAATATCGTTACAGCAAAATGAAACATGACTAAGAAAGCATACTTAGCTTTAATAGCGTGAGAGAATACAGGAAAAATGTAGGGTAGAAATTTATTTTGAAATAAAGGGAATATTTATAAGTATCATAAAAAGGCTGTACTGTTCCTTCCCTAAGAAAAAATTGCCTACATTTAAATCTTCTAAGTTCTTCAACAATAGTGGCTTTGTTTAATAAAATCAAAAGAAACAAAGGTTATCTTAATATATTATTCTTTTTATATAAAAGGACAAACCCTTCTATTTTAATCATCTTCAGAATTTATATGCTTATACTTGCTCAATTCAATATATGTTACCTTTTTATATTAGTTCAGGTTGCCATAACAAAATGTCATAGACTAGGTGATAAATAGCTGATAAACACAAAAAGGTATTTATCACAGTTCTGGAGGCTGGGAAGTTCAAGATCAAGTCTAGTGAGGACTTACTTCCTAGCTTGCAGACTGCTGCCTTCTTACTGTGTTTTCACCTGGTGGGGAGAGAGAGGGAGGGAGAGGGAGCGAGGGAGGGAGAAAGAGAGAGAGAGATCTTTTTCTAAGTTGGCCACAGTCCTATCAGATTAGGGTTTCACCTTGTGATCTCTTTTAACCTTAATTACTTCCTAAAGACCTATGTCCAGATACAGTTACATTGCAGGTTTGGGGTTCAACATATTCAATTTGGGGGGATACAATTCAGCCCATACCACTTTTCTTGTGGAATAAAATTGTATTACCGGTAGTTCGTTTAATATCATCAACTTAGCTTAATTATTCAATGAATAAAAATCAAAGAGTTTCTTATATCTAAATCCATTTCATTTTATTGGAAGATATTACACATAGCACTTTAGCTGTAATAATACTTACAGTTCCTTATGTGGCTTCTGTATGCTTTTATTTTTATGGAAATAAACATAAATAGGAATATTCACCTCAGCCTTAAATACTCATACTCAAAGCCTCAATACTGATGTCAGTCTCACATTTTTACATGTTCAGGAAACAATGACTGTTGACCCATTCTGCTGCAGGTGGCGCTCTTTTAAATGCATACCTTCTCCACAGACGCACAAAAGTGTAAAACTCCATTTTCCTTAAGATGGCAGTGTCTCCTGTTTTATTAAATCTTTAGCTGGATATAAACAAAACAGAATAAATAAAAATCAATAATGCATTAGCTCTGGGAAGATAGAATTCCTTTGAAATATTGAATCTAGAACTCTTTTCTACCAATAGTGCGTAGAAATAATAACTATGCATAGAAACACACCATAAGGTATAATTTTTTCTCCCACACATGAATAAAATCCTTATAGTCAGAAGGGCAGATGCTTTTACTTCCCTGAAGGGAAAACTAGAAGGGAAAATCTGTAAAAAAAAAAATGAACTTGAAGCTTCAGCAACTAAACATTTTTAAAATTTACACACACCTCTGTTAAAGAAAGTAATAAATTTTGTTGAGTGTTTGGAATTCATATCAAAGTTTCAGGGTGTTTGTTTTGATTGTAGCATTTTAAATTCTTTAAAAATATTTTCACTTATAGAAAACACACACACACACACGAAACAGATTCTGGGCTTTCTGTGTTTTTATTCAACCAACCAACCAACCCACACACTTACAAAATGTAGGCACACCTGGAAAGGTGGTGTAGAAATATAAATTTGTTCATTTTTTGTATGAAAATTGGGAAAAATTTGATTTTGAGAGTCTTATTTTTATTTTATTTTTAATTTTTCAAATACAGTTGACATTCAACATTATATTTCAGGTATATAGCATAGTGGTTACACACTTGTATAATTACACAGTGATCCCCCTGGTTAGTCTAGTACCCACCTGCACTATACATAGTTATTACCATATTATTGACTATATTCACTATACTGTACTTTACATCCCTGTGACTATTTTGTAATTGCCAACTTATACTCCTTAATCCCTTCACCTTTTCCACCCAGCTACCTAACAACCTCCTGTCTGGCAACCATCAGTTTGTTCTTTGTATCTGAGTTTTTTCTTTGTTTGTTTATTTTGTTTTATTAAAATTCTACATATAAGTAAATTATATGGCCTTTGTCTTTCTCTGTCTGACTTATTTCACTTAGCATAATACCCTCTAGGTCTATCCATGTTGTCGCAAATGGTAAGATTTAATTTTTTTTATGGCCGGGTAATATTCCATTGTATAAATGTACCACTTCTTCTTTATCCAATTGTCTATTGATGGGCACTTAAGTTGCTTCCATATCTTGGCTATTGTGAATAGTGCTGCAGTGAACATAGTGCTACAGGGTGCATCCATCTTTTCAAATTAGTGTTTTGGATTTCTTCAGATTAACAGAGGGTCTTAGTTTAAAACACTGAGAACTGGAACACATCAAGTCATAATTTTCTGTATTAATGAGAATGAAGATTGTATTTTGGAATTAATCTTTTTTGCCCCCATTTGATGGCAAAGGATGTTTAAGGAAGAAGTAACCTATTCTTTGTCTGTTTTTGTGCAAAAATATTATAAGACACTTTACAGATGCAGTGATGACATTGACCATTCTAAGCATTATACAAATACTTTGGCCTCTCGAGAGACATAATATTCTTTTCTCATTTTGATTCCTTACCTGCAAGAGCAGGTATGTATAGAGGATTTGTATATAGAGGATTGTAAACCTTCTTCCCCATCTTTTGATTGATGATGAAATGTTTTCTAAAAGAAACGTGTCATATTTTCAGTTTGACTTACATCATTCTATGAATTTAAAAGAAATTTGTCCATGAATTATTTACATTAAAGAAAATCATTATAGCTTTTCTTTCTACCTGATAGAGGACACTCTTTTTTGGAGAAAGGGTGTCATCTTTTCTAGATTGTGTTTATTCACTGCTAAGATTCAGAATATTGATTTTTCTAAAATCTTTTTTAAAAAGAGAAAGGTTATTTTTAAAATGACAGAAATATGAAAGTTCCAATTAAGTGGCTATAGCTAAAGCTGAATTGAAAAAAAATAAACCAAATTACATTTTATTATCATTCTGTTCAGGTAACAGAAAGAAAGCAACAGTTGGAAAAATGCTTGAAATTGTCCCGTAAGATGCGAAAGGAAATGAATGCCTTGACAGAATGGCTGGCAGCCACAGATATGGAATTGACAAAGAGATCAGGAGTTGAAGGAATGCCTAGTAATTTGGATTCTGAAGTTGCTTGGGGAAAGGTAAAACCTATATCACTGAAGGTGATTTTTAACATGCATGAAAACATACAGTAATATAATTTTATAAGGAACTATTCATGTGCAACAATAAGAGAATTATAAATATTATCTTGTTTCCTTTTCCTTTTCTGAAACTTCATCAGTAATCTCACTGTATATTTCAGGATCATGATAAAACCAATGGGAAGCATTAGTAGGCATCTCCCCGAAGCTTGTTTAGAATTAGGTCTAATTCTCATTCCGACAAAGTCCTTCAAAAATACATACATCATGAATCATGAAGTCGGTCCAGAGATGAGCTTCTATGTTCCCCAGTTTGCCTAAGACAGTCACCCCAATGAACTTTAATTAAAAAAAAGATATTTCATGAATAAATTAATAACTTAAAAAAAAGAAAAGACAGACGGCCCAGATGGACCGTACAACCATGAAGAGGGCAAGGTTACTGAGACTGCAAACATTTGGTCTGGACAGGACCAGCAAGATCAGCAGATTGCCGATGTTACAATAATAAAAAAAAACTATCTCAGGGGGTCTGTGCAGCTGCTGTCATTTCCATCACTACCGAAGAGCACAGAGTTTCCTTCCATCCTCAGCTGATAAATTCTTGCTGTTTCTCTGACAGCCAATCAGACATTATTGCTCCCTAAATTTAAGGTCAAGGCACTCATAGCTTAATATTTTCTTTCCAGTTGATTCCTTACTTGATTACATGGCAGTGTGTTGATATTAAATAAATAACTGATACTAATGCTGTGCTTTCACCTTAAAATTTGCTGAACAATTGGGGATTTAGAAAAAAAATAAATCATACCACACCCTACCCCATTGGTGGTTTTTTTTTTCAATTAACTAACACTTGCCTGGGTTAACTAGATGTTTAAGAGTGATGTGCTTTGTTTTTAATTCAACAAGGCTCTCTAGATTATCCGAATTTGGAAAATTTTAATTGTATTATGTAAAAACTTAGAATCATACAATGAAACCAGAACTGATAACTGATTTTCTATATGCAGATAACAGAGTACAAGTAGATATAAGATTTTGTTATATAAGGGTTTTTTTAATAAATAGTGGTGAATTTCTTCCCATTCTGAATAGATTTACTGTTAGAGATAAGATATTGAATTGCATTTATTACTTTAGGACTACATATATTGTGAGACTATTAGAGCAGCGAGTACAGGGCACAGGCTTGAAATTATATTGGCCTTATTTTTTTTCCCTTGTCACCCAAACAAATATTATATTTTCTATGTGATGATTTAGTTTAAACTGATGATAACCGTATATTTAGGGACAAGGCTGGGCTGCTGTAAGAAATAAGCCAAAAATACCATGGCTGCAAGAAAAAAGAGGTTTATTCCTATCTCATGGAAGTTCTGGGTAGGGGACAATAACTTTTTTTTTAAAACTTTATTGGGGAGCAGTGTGCCTTTCCCAGGACCCATCAGCTCCAAGTTAAATTGTTGTCCTTCCATCTTAGTTGTGGATAGCGCAGCTCAGCTCCAAGTGCACTCACCATTTTCAATCTAGTTGCAGGGGGCACAGCCCACCATCCCATGTGGGAGTTGAATCGGCGACCTGGTTGTTATGAGCATGTGTTCTAACCAACTGAGCCATCTGGCTGCTCCGGAAGTAACTTTTCTTCATGAAATTCTTCCAAGGTGTAGGTCCCTTTCACTGCATTGTTCTGCAGTCCTCTGGGTATTATTTGTATCCTCACGGTAAAACTTGCTCACCAACACTACCACTCCTCCATCCCAGCCCACAAAAGAAAGGAAGAAGAGGAGATGGAGGACAACTAGCTCTCCCTGAAAGATGTATTATGAAAGCTCCATGCATTATTTCTGCTCATATTCAGTTTGCCAGAATGTAGTCACATGATCACATCTAGCCTTCAGGGAGGGTAGCAGAAAACTGGGTGGCCAGTGTATCCTGTAAAACTGATGAATGGATCTTGTACAAAAATGAAGAAAGAGGAGCACCCGGTTGGCTCAAGTGGTTAGAGCGCAGTGCTCATAACAAGGATGCTAGTTCAATCCCCACATGGGCCACTGAGCTGCGCCCTCCACAACTTGATTGAAACAACTACTTGACTTGGAGCTGATGGGTCCTGGAAAAACACACTGTTCCCCAATAAAATAAAATTTAAAAAAATAATAATAAAATGAAGAAAGAGAATGCATTCCTGGAGGACAGACATCAGTTTTGGCCAGAGCAGTATCACCCTTGCCTTTTACATCATAAGGTAAAGGCAGAGGAAGGTCTGTGTGACCTGTCTTTCTCTTTATGAAGACATGACTGATGGCAGTTTCCACCATAAGTACTCATAAACAAACAAATCAGCCCAGAAAAGACTTACGCTCTATGAAAGTATGAATTATAGTGAAACACGCGTAGGGAGAGAGTTAATGACTGTTGAGGATTCATGAAATCAATCCAGGCTTCATTCTCAGCCATCCTCCCTTTACTACCATGAACAATATCTTCAATTATTCATTTCCAATTGAATGGGTGTATTAGTTTGCTAGGTGTGCTGTAACAAAGCACCACAGACTGGGTGGCTTCAGCAACAGAAATTAATTTTCTCAGAGTTCTGGAGGTTGGAAACCAGAGGTAAAGGCTTCAGCAGGGCTGGCTTCTTCTGAGGCCTCTCCCTTTGGCTTGTAAAGAGCTGTCTTCTCATGTTTGAATTTGATCTTCCTCTGTCCAAATTTCTCTTCGTAGAAGAACGCCATTCATATTGGCTTAGGACCCACCTGAGGGATCTTATTTTAACTTAATTATCTCTTTAAGCACCCTACCTCCAAATATGGTCACATGCTGAGGTATTGGGGTTAAGACTTCAAAATGTAGTTTTGGGGAGCACAGTTCAGCCCGTAACAAGGAACCATGTCAAAAAACAGGACTTTCCCCTCACATGAAAGTTGAGGGGACACAATTCAGCTCATAACAGTGGGATAGCTTTATAAATATAACGTAGAATGCTAACATAATGGTAAAAGGAGTAGAGCTAGATGTGAAGGGAATGTGAGAAATTCTGACTGCAATTTAACCTTTTCACTGTGTTTATTGATTTCAAGTTTGTTCTCCAAACGGTGTCAAAAATCCACAGAAAATAATTACAGTATTTATATTTTTAAGTAACTGCAGTTAAGGTGCTACATTTTATTAAAAGAAATGATTAAAGTATAAAAATGTCCTATTGTTACTCATTCTTGAAAAACAAAAATATAGAAAAATGTGCATCTGCTTTCCTCAACTTCCTTTCTGGAACACTGAGCTCGTGGGCTAAAGTGGAACGCCGCAGTCAGCGGCATGGAAATATCCTTCAACTATAGATGAATGTCACAGCGAAAATGTTAAAACTGACTGAGGTGAAACGATACAAGTGTGCCACATATGAACTGCAAATTCCAGAATCCCCATAAGGTCATAGAATAAGTCACCTAAGGAGATATTTTTTCATTAGCCTCACCATGACATTAAAATATCACAAGATATGAACTTGGCAAAGATTTCTAGATTATCCTTGTCATATTAGAAGGCTTGAGTGGTCTGGAGATGTATCTTCTTATTGAGTCTTTCTGGAAAGTATTTTATATAAAACCAAGGGGCAATACTGATTTGAGACTCACTAGGAAAAAACATATAGAAAACTGGCATTTCTTTTCTTTACTTATGTAATAGTTTCTCTCTCTTTCTGGATCGTTTGAAATACTAAGCTGTTAATGATATACTCTAAAATCCCTTAGTGGTCAAAGAAAAGCATACACATTTGCATGTAAATTACATCATTTTTAAATAAACTCATTTTCAAGGTGCTGCAGCTTTTTCAAAAATCACAATTATGTAATAAAACCATGTGAGCTATAGATCTAGAGCAGGGACATTTGTGATAATGATTCTAATTTTTTTAAATGAAAAAAATCAAACTCTCATACATGAAACCCCATGGCTCTTTGCATTACCGTTTCATATGCTTTCTTGGTAGATAGAGAACTTGACTCAAAATGTTAGTTTCATCTGCCAATTCAAAGAATATTTGTCAAATGCTTTTCAAAATAAATTGAGTATTCATTTAAATGCAATACATTAAAGGTATTTGCCAATCATTCCAAGTATTTTTGACTTGGAGAAAATTTGAATAGAGTCAATTTATTTTTAAACTGTTTCACTTATTTGTACTGAATTTCTCTCAGCTCTCTTGATCTAAGACCATTATATTATTTAAATATGAAAATATTTGAATGTCAAGATAAAACTATTCTTATACATAAAATTGAGTTACTAATGAAATGTTTATTTGACTGTGAGTTTATCCAAACAGAGCACACTTTCAAATATGTTGACTACAATGAAATCTTTTTCAGTCTTATTTTTACTATATTAAATTATACTTATTATATATCTAATTCCAGGAAAAAAATTGTTTAGGGTGGTTTAAAGAGATACATATGATTCAACTGTTAAAGATAAATTAGAAAAGTAGAGAAAAGGAAAATTACACTAGGGAAATAATAGACAATTTGCACATAAATGCACTCACAGTATCACATGAATAGTGGACTATGCAGGGAAGTATAAAACCTCAAAATTTGGCACCAAGCTTCCTATCAGACAAAACCAAAAAGTGACTGAAAGTGACTATCTGTTTTTATTGTGGTAACAACAGTTAACATGAGATATACCCACTTAAAAATGTTTAAAATGTATAATACTGTGTTGTTAACTGTAGACACAATGCTATACAACAGATCTCTAGAATTTATTTTGCGTAACTGAAGCAGAAGAAATATAGTTATGAGATTCAGTGTCCAAATCATCAAAACAATCATTACCGTGTGTTCAATGTACTAATTCTATGTAAGCCTATCTTGAACTTAGATACAGAAGAAAAAATTAGAGGGGTGATAAGTGAGACAGCAACTTGATTAACATTCTTATGATAAACATAATGAAAAGGTTTCTGTTGCCATTTTTCTATCAGCATGCCT